AAAAAGAAAAAGAAAAAGAAAAAGAAAAAGAAAAAAAAGAAAAAGAAAAAGAAAAAGAAAAAAGAAAAAAAATCTTGTTCTCAAAATCAAGCTAAGAATGAATAATGAGATTTTTTTTCTCCATTGTCAAAAGCACCACACAAATCCCATCTAAAGATGACCCAGAACCACTGTAATAGTGTAAGGTATTTTGAATGCACAGCATAGCAAGTAGACAGCTTGTTATTTACCTAATAAATTTTGATTGGTGTTAAGATGCAGCTTGAAAACAATTAAATCTAAAAATCATATTGGCATAAGCAAGAACAAGATGTCTTGACAATATGAAAAGAGAGTGCATGCCTCATCTTAAAATTCATCTGTCTTTTTTTCCTGCTGTTGGTGAATCTCCAGTAGGGAAAAAAAGTTCTGGTTCCAATACAACAAGTAGATGGAATCTCTGCTATCTCTCCTAGTTGCTTTTGTAAGAGCCATAAGCACTATTCACCAAATTCCATATTAGATACCAGGTAAATTATACCTATTATGAGACGAGACTTCCTAACATGGTTTGCAAAGTGATGCTTAAGAGTTGTTTTAGTGCAGTTACCTCAGAAACTTTTGAACATGAAGAACAGATTGAAGAGATGGTTTGTGGGAAAATCCATCAAAGAGAATCCTGGAGGCAAGCCTAACTACCACCAACCACATCTGCTAAAATCCCACTTAAAAAGAAAACATGCCACTGTAAATTCCATGTCTTGTGAAGTGAAATGATGGAGAACACATAACTGTTACTGAAAGGTGTGCTGATATAAGTAGACTAAAAGCCAAGTAATTGGTAAAAGTTTCTGGATGACAGCCCACGTAAGTATTAACAACTTTGCATGCAGTACATAAACTGCACAAATACAATGGTCAAGAATACAAATACCATCTAATATTTTACGAATTAAGAATTATTTTTTTTTTAACTGACCCTGTCTTCACTACAGTGAGTGCAGTTAAAATTCACCATGGTCAAGTAAATCTAGACATTTGCATTACTGGCAGAGTTGATTCTTTCATGTCTTTGTCAGTTGCAATTCAAACAGGTGTTTGAAAGAGGCTAACCACAAGAACTTGCTTCCTCTAAACCCCGTAACCTTGTTCACCAAGAACAAAGCTTTGCCAGTTTGCACTAACATTTCACTTTGTATCTTTCCTACAATAAATCGTAAGATAACAAAAGTCATCAAACGTATGATTTCTTGCAAAACAGACGTAATCGAACTTAGTCTGATAATTCATGTAGTAACAAATAAATCCATTTTGGCATGTCCATTTTTAATTAAACAGTATGAAATATGTATACCATTTTGATTTATGAGGTCGACATAGTAACTTTGTATGGATACATACATTTTAGTTAAATCAGAAGGGTTTTTTTCATTTTAGAAGATAGGAAGTGTAAATCTTGATAATAGGGAATTGTTTTAAGATGTCTTACTGAGCTCCGGTTTTGTTCCATGAGCTATCATACAGGGGAAAAAAAAAAAATCAGTAATTAAAAAGATCTCGTAGTCTCTGTGTTTGTTTGGGTGCTTTTTGTTGCCTGTTTTTGTTTCTTTTGTTTGGGGAGTTATTGTTTGGGTTTTTTGGTTTTTTCGGGGACAAATATCAGTTTGTCTATCTGTTAATCAGAGGGAGAGTTCTGAGTCGTGAAAATCTTGCCGGCCGCAGTACACACCAGTTTCTGCAGAACCTTGTCCTAGTCTTGCACCAGAAAACAAATTGCCTCCGACGTCCAGATTCACTCTTTAATGAGAAAATGACTCACCACCAAACTTTCCCGCTCCCGTCGGAAAATGAAGTTTCCCGATGACGGTCACACCGCGGTGACTGAGCGCTTTCGCCTTTCTCCCCGGAGACACCGCCTCCTCACAAGCAACGCCACCCGGGGTGACTCTCCGCGCCCGCTGCCTTTCTCTGCGAGCTCCGGAGCTCTGCACGCCGGTCCCATCCTCGCAGCCGGGCCGGACCCACCGGCGCTGCCAGGGCGAGCAGGAGCGGCGGCGCGGACCGCACGGAGCCCGCGCGGCCGGGCCGGGCCGGGCCGGGCCGGGCCGGGGCGGCGCACGGGGCCACCCGCAGCGGCGGAGCCGGGCGGGCCGCGGCGATTGGCGGCGGCGCTGACAGCGGGCGGGGCGGCGGCGGCGGCGGCACCGCCCAGCCCCCGCTATAAGCCTCTTTGCCGCTTTCTCACTGGGTCTCATTTTCGCTCCGTGCGTTGCTGTGTCTGCGCAGTGGAAATCCGCAACAGGGAGCTGCTCAGGGGCGCCGTTGTCATGTGAAAGCGCACATGCTCTGCCATCCACGCGGCACCCCCCTCTCTTCTGCCTCCGCGTGTTTTTCCTGTTTTTTCTAACGTAACTCCTTTCCTCCTCCTCCCCTGCTCAGCCCCTCGCCGCCGCCCGGCCGCCCAGGCGCCCCCCGCGGAGGCTCCGCCGCGGGCAGTCTCGGGGCGGCCGCCCCGGAGCAGCGCGCCCGGCGCGGGGAAGCCCGTGGAGCCGCGCCCCGCGGAGCCGCCCCGGAGGTATGGTTTTCCCGGCGGAGCAGAGCTGCGGCGGCTGCCGCCTTCGCGGGTGTTGAGACGGGACTTGTGCGGTGCGGTTCCTGGGCTCCTAGCTTCATGACTGCGCGGAGCGGGGAACCAACACCATGCGAGGTAAGCGGGCCGGTGGGGCGGCTCTCTTTTGAGAAAGGCGCTGGGGAATGGGCTGGGGAAGTGGTTTCGTACTAGGGAGAGGGTCCGGGGGAGAAAGTTGATGGGTGGTGCCCGCCCGCCGGCGTGGCTACTGACGGCATGATTCCCGCACCCGCGGGGCCGTGATCCCGACCGAGGAGCCTTCCGGGGCAGCCGGTGGCGGACGCCCCGCGTACCTGTCCCGGGGAGCCCCCGCCGCCCTGGCCCGTGCCGGGGGCGGAAGGGAGGGAGGCTCGGGTGGTGGGCAGTGTCGGTGCCGTGAGATCTGCACCTGCAGCTGCCCGCGGGGCGGGGCGCGGCACATCGTCCCATACAGCGGAACCCGCTGGCGCTTGGTCCCGGGTCGCTGCCAGCACGGAGAGGGGCTGCCCTTTTCTCCCCAAAAGTTATCTGGACTTTGTTCCCTAACCGGCACGACGCCTGGAGGCCCCTGTTCCCCACGGGCTGCTAACTGGCCGGCAAGGGTTGCGCTGCCCGGGAACCCCGTGCCCGCAGGTCTCTTGGGGTCCCCGAGCCGGTGCTGCCTGCACAGCCCGATGGTGGGGGGCGGGAGGGGCTCCTCCGGGGCTTGCAGCCGCACTCGGTAGGGTCCCGCCGGAGAACGGAGTGTCGCCGCTGGCGGGACACCTCGGGCATGGAGAGCTGCTGGTGCGGTGCGGCTGGAGAGAGGCTGCGTGCTGGCGCGCCGGGCGGCCGGGTGGGTGCGTAGGGCAGCGCAGGACATGGGAATGCGTTGCTTCCGTGTCTCCCAGGACCAGACTCCCCCGGGCCCCATCCCCGGACAAGGCGAGCACCTACACCGGAGCAAGAACAACCCCTGCCAGCCTCGTGCGTCCGCGGGGTTTACACAGCTCCTCCGCTCCCCACCTTCCACTTTGTCTTTTGTCACCCAGTTTGGCAAAGGGGTTGCTTGCCTCACCCATGGCTTGGTATAAGGGACAAAAAGTAGTCTCTACCAGGGTGTTGGAACGGAGGAGAAGGGCTTATGGGGATTGGGACACGCTCGGCGTTGACGGCGGCGCTGCATGCGGATTTATTGATCTTCTGTTTAAGGACGGGACACACAGACTATAAAGAACTTCTAGCTAGAATTTCAGCTTGTTTGATGTCATCTCCTGTAACAGCATGTGTTAACAGCAATAACAAATCACACGTGTGTTATTGGCTTTAAAGGAATTGTAGCTATGACATTTACACAGATAGAGTTAAAAAGACCTTCTTTTCCCCCAGCATTCTTTGTTAGGTTGTTGGTTGTGGGGCATCTGGCAATAACTTGCTAAAAGATGTTTGTTTTTCTTAAGAGCAACAGGAAACAAGTGAAAACACTCAATTCTGTAAAGTGTCCCCTGTTGCAGCTTTGTGGCTTGGGTTGGAGGTTTTCTATTTGTTTGAGTATGGGTTTTTGTGGATTTTGGTAATATTTGTGGGTTTTGTTTGGGTTTTTTCGTTCTTTGTTTTTCTGCGCACCAGAGCGCCTCCAGTTTGATTAAAGCCAGTCATTGTCTCAAGGGTTGTTTTTCAAAATGTGCCCATCCAGTGACCCCTGGTCAGGAGTCCCAACTCCCCTTTCTGTGGGCAGTTCATCCTCACAAGCTGTGGCCTGCACAAAGGTGAGGAGTAATGTCCTCCATCTCCTCAGATGCTTTCCTTCTAAACAAGGCCCACGGTGGTCTAGCTGTGCTGGGCAGGGAGAGGGAAGCAGATCTTGCTGCACATCTAGTTACATCTCCTGCCAGATCTGCCCCAGCTCCGTAGCCATCTCTACCACCCCTTTAGCTGTGCTTTCAGCCACTGTGAAGAGGTGCAGCCCTGCCCCTAGAATGTACACTAGTATTTGCACTGAATTCATGCTTACTCAATAGGGAGTTTACAGGTGGGAGGAAAAAGGGCTGGGATGGATGGAGGAGAAAAACAGGCAACTTTTTTTCTTCTTTGAAACTCATGTGCAAGAAGTCAGTAAAGTGAAGTTTTACAACAGGGGTGTGTGCAGGCAAGAGCAGTGCTTCACAACACCTCAATTAAAAAGGAGCATTACATGTTAATAGAGCATCTGTCTTTGTGGCTTTCCAAATAATGGAAATAAATGAGTGTTACAGTTCACAGATTATGAGCTCCCATGAATTGGTGCTTTTAGAGAGCTGTGAGCCTTCCTGTAAGAGTGTAGTTGTTTTCAGCTGTATTTGCACTTGCTTTGAAGGAGGAAGCGCTCAGTCTTGAGCATGTGAGCTGTTCCCCCAAACTTTCCCAGCTTACTGGGATCCTTCCAAGCTGCAGTTGGTACAGTTAGCACAACATACCTGGGATGTGTAGTGGCTGCTGTGGTTCATTTCTGCTCCACACTGGAGACGGAGGCCAAAAAGTTCCTGAAAATACCCAGCCTGTGTTACTGCCTGCTGAATTCCAAAGCCCTGGCCAGCCACATACTGTCAGTTGTCCCATTCCGTGGAAGCCAAGCTAACATTTTCAGCTGTTGTTACAGTCATTGGTCATGTTCTATCCAAAACAATCATTTTCTTCACTTCAAACCTTGATTTCAACCCCATTAAGTATATGTTGCCACACTGAATCACAGCAGAACAATATACAGGACACTGAGGTCCTGATATTTCCTTCTGAATGGAAAATGGAATTTTTTTTGAGGTGATGACTTTTATACCAGTATTTTATGGAGGCAAACATAGGTGTAAAAGAAATTTACAGTGAGTGTTCATCACAGTCTTCCTTCCATCTGTCCCAGTCCTAGCAACATCCTGTGAGGGAGTTAAGAACATAGTATGTGTACTTCAGTATACTTTTTAGAAAAAGAGAACAAAAAAAGAACTAAAATGATTGTGCTATTTAACTTAAAAAGAAGACTTACATTTTTCCTTCTAGTTTATTTATTACTAAAATGATTTGTAAAGTTTAAAGCTATTAAAAGTTAGTCAATTCTGTTTTTAATGCAGCTGTTATGCAAATGTGGAAAGTTGTGGCAAAAAAAGTGTCAAAATATCTACTTTTACACAGAGAACATGCTACGCATACACATACAAAAGTCAATTTTGCAATTGTAACGATTTGAGTTGTGAAAGTGACATTAGTACCCAAGTACTCCACTTATTACAGAAGTAATAGTTATACTTTTAGCTTAAAATGTTATTAAAAGCATTTTTGTTACATTTTTAAAAAAGGAGCACCACAGCCCCCTGAAGTCAAGTTATTTAAGTGAGTTTTCTGGGTAATTTTTTATTGTTGCTGTCAGGATAAGCAATAAGGCATGTTGCATGATGTTATGTAGCTATCCCATTTTCTTAGCATGACTGAAATATTTGTAGGAAATTAGAGAAGTGTTCAGACAAATTCTATATGCAGTATTTCTAAGTGAGCTTATTAAGTAACACATACAAAGACACTGGCTCGCTTAGAAGGTCTTGAGTAGATGAGTGCAGGGAATCTTTATAGACTCATCACCTTCAAAGGAAAATTATGTTGCAATTTATTCCAGGAAAAGTAAATATGTCTCTATTTGTAATGTGTAACATTAATATTCCAAAATACATTGATGGCACTGAGTATTTAAAGAAAGGACTTAGGACCTTACCCCAGCATTGTAAAACCAATTTGTCCTTAGAGTGTAGTGCATCTAGCAACTCCTTAATTGAATGATGTTATTTGACTTCATTGGGATGCCTTGATATGTGATAAAGCACAAGTTTCTGATGTTAGGTGTTCCCAGGTAAAATTTAATAAATGTCAGTAAATCATAAGTCAGTAATAAACTGTGTCACATAAAAAAAAAATACAGGTGTATATAGTCAATAAACAGTGACACCCCTCTAGAATGAACAAAAGTAAAAGGGAAAGCACGAGTGCCCATTTGTACCTCAGAAATACTTTTACTTTGCGTTGGATCATACTTACATTCCATACGGTATCTTCCATTTTTCTTTACTTGTAATGTGCTACAGTATTGGGGATCAAAGGAGAGCACATAATGAAAGTTCAACAGTTGATAACAATATGATTTAATAGCATATAGATGTTATATAAGAGTCTTTTTAATAATATAATTATTTTTTAAGTTATCATTTGTTTTTCTTAGATGGAAGTGTGGTGACAGTTAATTTAAAAAATACAAAAATACCATGTGCACTGTCTGGGAATAATTTCTCTTTTGTGGTATGGAAAATATCCGACTTCCACTGTTGGTCTTTTACAAATCCAGTGGCAAGCAGTAAGTTGGTATGATTTTTCTAATTTGACAGTGCAGTATAGAGGTCATTTAAATGGTATTTTATGGTTAAAAACTATTTTTGGCCTTTGAGGAGTAAATCTGTCAGGAAAAAAATTGTCTGAGTAGATAAGAATTCTGGAAGTCATAATTCCTGTTTAGAATGTACTTGTGATAATTTGTGGAAAGTCTTTAGGGTGCTATGGAAGATATGGCTATATATCATAGTGACGTTTGTCTCCTCAAAAACATGTGGGTAAGGTATACCTTCAACAGTACTGAGTTTTATTAAACAATTCCAGGGCCCAGGGTCTGTGGTAGTGTGCACACTGGTTACCTGAAACAGAAAAACTGTTCAAAGGGTTGAAATATTGAACTTATCATCTGGTGAATAGAAATGAGCTTTATTAGTACAGCAGTATAATGACTAGTGTTATGTAGTCCATATACTGCCCTTTCATCCATTACCCTGTCAATTTTGCTTTTAATGAGGGAAATCACAGGTCTTATGTTTATGGTAAATTTTGCTACATATATTAGTTGCTCCACTTTCAAAACTGAAATAATTGAAAAAGATAAAGTCTGAGCATTGCTACACAATCATGAGATAACAGTAGTGTGTTAGTGGTCATACATTGTTTTACAGTTCTAAGTTGCTGTCTTAGATCACTTGCTGTTGAGCTTAGTAATAAACCTGTTATATCAACTTAAATCAAAGTGTAAATTTTAAAAAACTGATGCATTTGAATTT